CACGGAGAAAGGCCAAAAAGTTGCTCCTTTCCCGGGACGGTCCGATTTCTCCAGTTCGATTCACTCGCTTCGCGGGCTTCGTCTTTATCGAGTTTCCGCGAAACTCGAGATTCTTTGCGAAATTGTTTCGGGATTCTGCTCGAAATTCGAGACACGTCGCTGTTCTTATTCGATTTTTAAAGTGCTTCTCCTCTATGCAGTTTCGCGTGATATTTGCCTCTTTGAATAAAGATTAATTAGCATTCGAGACATTTGGAACTGTGACTTGAGAACATTTGCACATATCTCGGAACTCTAGATATTGTATTGCTCGAGTTTTTAAAGTGATTCTCTTTAAAGAGAATGTTCGTAAAATTCTAGCAAATTTGATTACCTCGAGAAATTTCTTGGAATTTCAAGTGAAATCGTTGTTGTTCTCATTCGATTTTTGAAATGCTTTTCTTTCAAAATAACATTCTCAATATTTGTTTAATTAATACACGTGATAATACGATAATTTTACTTTTCATTAATTTCTTTGACTACTGTTGAATTGCTACAATTTAATGCAAATTAAAAATAATTAATCAAACGATTGATCGAGTTTCTAATTTTGTAATCTGTTTTGTCCATAGAAGGAAAAATATTATAATTTTCATTTTATGGTTTTATCTAGTCGTTTATGTCTTGTCGACGATATTCATCTTATTTGAATCGTTCCATAATATATACATAACAGGAACAGAAATGTCATCACAAATGTTATTAGAAGATATTTTAGTGTCAAAGTCTCTTCGAAATTAGAAACAATAGAAAGAAACATTTTATTACGAAGATTAAAAACAAATTACAAGTTCAAGAAACTTTGCTGAAAAAAAGAGAACACATAAACTCTAAAAAAAAAAATTTCCAATAATACAACTCCAAAAAAAATTTAAATAAACTCGAATGAAAGGATGTCAATGTCCGAAATATCAATGCTCGAGCAAGGAAGGAAACGCACGAAGAAATGGAATAAGAAATCCCCGAATCAGCGGCTGACTCGACGAATAAAACGAGAAACGGGACGAGCGTCAGAGAAATCAGGAAGAATCGGACTTGAAGTCTAGTTGTGTGAGTTAGGTGCATAGGGGTGTAACGTCGTTGTACATAACTTACGTTAGATGTGTATTCGTATACACGTAATGGTGCAGCTTTAATGTATGTAAATGTAATGTAAAAGAGATATCACTAGCGTTTACTTAACGTGTGCACACGTTTCGTGTGCATGTACATACACGTGCATAGAATAGGGGAAAGGGACGGGATGAGTGTGTGTGTCACACGCGTGTTTCACGCGAGAAACGCGCAAAAAGTGGAAATTACGAACGCGTCCAGCTTGAACGTTCGATCGAACATATCGGGGAATCGCGTCATTTTATCCTATTAACCTCTCGATCGATTGAACGACAAATGAGAGGTGATCGTTCGGAATCGAGGATGATGTAACGTAAAGTGGATTGCGTTACAAAAGAATTTCGAACGTACGGAGGAACCATTGGCGCGCGTATTGTTTGTAAGGAATATAGGGGATGATGTAGGATAAAGTCTCTAGCTCGAA